GGCTGAGCCCCCCGGCGCACACAAAAACGCCCCTAGAAACTTGAACCCTTCGCCATTTTAAGTAGGAGATGTGAGCGATTTCGAACTTAAAATGACACACTTCTCCAACCCCGACCCCGGGGGCAGGCTGGCTTCTTGGCCCGCCCCCCCAAACCGCGCCAGGACCACCGGGAAGCCGACCCGCCAGGGAGGGGGCTGGAGGGGAAGGGGTGGGGGCTGAGTCATCTCACCTCCTCCGGGGCTCTGTTCCTTAACTCCAGGTTAATCCTCTTCTTCATCTCCATGTCCTCCTCCTGCTCTTCTGCTCCTACTCTCCTCCCTTTCCCTTTCCTGCCTTTCCCACTACCCCCAACCCTCAAATTTTAAGAGATTTGGAAATGAATGAAAAGAAACGCAAATACAAACGCCCACTCCCGGCAGATAGGTGTGGGGGAGAAAGAAAAGAATAGCAAATGGAGTCCAAGGAGTTGGGACTCTAACTCAGCTGCCCCCACCTCCTTGTCCACACACTAGCGCGCGCACACACACGCACGCACGCGCGCACACAAACACGCACACACACATACACATACACACACGCGCACACACCCGCGGTTCCTTCCCCTTCAATGGCTGCTGAGAGACTGAGCCTCCATGACACGGCACCGCCAACCCCCTGGCCTACACTCCACCCACCTCCCAAACCTATTGGTTGATGCTTTGGCGTCACGCGATGCCATTGGGCTACGTCAGTGTCGATCCGTCTTCAGGGCGGACCCGGACCCTAAGCTCTGTGTCTATTGGCTACGACCAAGCGCGCAGTTAACTCCGATAGGTCCAGGAGGGTGTACGTCCCGGGGAAATGATTTTGAATCCCAGTAGCTCCCCTCCTTTTCTTTGTGTAGTTGGCGCGCTTTCCCCAGGCGCTCGGACGGTGTTGATGCCTTTCGGATTTGGTTTTGGGTTTTTAATTCTGCTCTACGTGTTAAAGAGAGGGAGGACGCATCCTTCCGCGCTCAAGTTGCGATGCTGATAATGCACCACGCGGCGTGCACAGGCGCTGGGCCGTTTCCAAGCTCATCCTCTGCTTTGCATCCAAGGTGTACAGCAACGTGCGCATCTCATTGAAAGCATGCCTTGGTGGCACTGCCCTGCTGGGTCAGGCTTCTCACTGCCCCTCAGCGATGCGGAGCCGGAGCCGAGGAGAAAGATGGTAGTTTAACTTCCACCGTAAGAGGCTGAACGATCTAGAAAGCAGTTGGGTGAAGTATATAAGTTACGAACCTTTAAATAAAACTGTCCTGGAGGAAACGTTACTGAGCTAATTGTTGCTGTAATAAACACTGAGCCCTTGAAGGGAAAACAACGCCGGCCTAATGAAAATCAGGCATTAATTCGCGTAGAAATGGCACAGCAGTGCTGCTCTAATTTCCCTTTGGTTGGTTTCCATGGAAATCTGTAAGAAAACTGTGCTTTTAAAAGTCTGTTTATCGCTTCTCCGCCTTTTGGCTAAGATCAAGTGTAGGATCTGCCTTTATCAGTGTAGTATCTGAAACGTTTTCTATCCGAGCCCAATACATGAAATAGATTTTTGGAGCAGGAAGATGGAATAGGATCTTGCTCGTCCACTCCACGCATCGACCTGGTACTGCAGTACCTCCAGGAATAGTGCATCCTTTGGGAGATTAAAATTTAGTGTTCAAGGACAGAAGGGGGGGGGGAAAGGCTGTCTGTGCAGAATATAAAAGAAGGGGATAATAATGACTTTTTAAAAGTTTGTCTTGGCTCTTGATTAAATTCTGTTCTCGGCCGGGCTCGGTGGCTCAGCCTGTAATCCCGCGCCTTTGGGAGGCTGAGGTGAGTGGATTGCCTGAGCCCACGGGTTCAAGACCCACCTGGGCAGCGAGACCTCATCTCTACAATAAATCAAAAAATCAGCCGGACGTGGTACGCGCTCCTGTAGTTCCAGCTACTTGGAAGGCTGAGGCGGAAGGATCGCCGGAGCCCAGCGGGTCGAGGCTGCGGTGGCTGGGAGCGGCCACTGCACTCCAGTCTGGGTGACTGAGTGAGACTCCAAACAAACAAGCAAAATTCTGTTCTCATTTCGTTACATCTTTCTCATGATAAAGAATCAGAGAAATTCCAAATGATTTGGGGAAGGTGATTTAGTCGCTCACCTCCCAGAACTGAGTATTTGCTGTTTTTCCAGCTTCTCAGGTTAGAGACCTTCGGTTTTCAACACGGACTCCTCAGCACCCCCCAGTCCTTCCTCCCACCCTGACACACTGTTACTCAAATAGGCTTATATTTTAAATGTGAATAGTTGGTATTTTACATTTGAAATGCATTAAAGGAAAACAAACCGATGATTGTCATCACAAGGCTAAGTATTTCCTTTGAATTCCCTGAAAAGGAAATTGTGGGACGATGGGGGCGGGGGAGGAGAGCTTTTGGTACAAAAAGATATATCTTAAGGGGCCATTTGAAAACTTAATAAAGTTTGTGTTTGTTTGTTTGTTTGTTTGTTTGTTTTGAGCCGAAGTTTCGCTCTGTAACCCAGGCTGATATGCAGTGGCACACTCACAGCCACGCAGCCTTCACCTGCCGGGCTCAGGCAATCCTTCCTCCTCAGCCTTCCAAGTAGCTGAAACCACAGGCATGCGCCACCACACCCAGCTAATTTTTTGATTTAGAAACAAGGTCTCACCAAGTTGCCCAGGCTGGTCTTGAACCCCTGGGCTCAGGCAATCTTCTCACCTCTGCCTCCCAAAGTCCTAGGATTACAAGCATGAGCCACCACGCCCAACCCTGTTTGTATGTTTTAATTCAGGTTCGAGGAAACCAAGATGATAGGAAAACTGAACCAAAATGGACTGAGGAACAATCCATGGAAGAGTTAAAAAGCAAGAGAAGAAAAAAAGGTGCTAAAAAGAAATAAGCACATTTTAGTACCAGCCTGGGAATAAGTCCCGAGTTCTGATCCCACCTGTCACTGCGGGGGTCTGGAAAACAAATCCAACAGAATTCTGGGAAGAAGATTCAGATTTTTTTTGATTTTTTTTTTTTTTTTTGAGTTGGAGTCTCACTCTGTCGCCCAGGCTGGAGTGCAG